ATATATAACATCTCTCCCAGTCAGATTTCATAGCAAATTAAGAATCATAAGAAGATCGATACAAGTATGGAGTCACTAAAGATGATGATGACGAGAAAGGCTGCTCAACTGATAGCCGTATTGTTCATCGTGCTGATCATTCTGTTTGCAGCGGTTCCAGCAGAGTCCGCCCGCCAACTCCTCCAACGCGGTAAGTAGCCAGCTTCGATTAAATCATGTTATTGTTGCACGTAGTCAATGCTGTAAGGTTTAGGGGTGTAAGTTTGACCCTTAGGGTCGAGTCAGGGTCAGAGTCAGATAGGGTCGGGTCAATTTAGGGTCGGGTCACTTTTGACCCTATGACCCTTAGCATCATACAAACATGTTGGACCTATTTGTAAAATTTTATAAGTTTAGGTACTAAATTGTAAAAATTAGAAAATTTGGGTACCAAAACATAATTTTACCATCAAATTTTAAGGACTTATTTGTAAAAAAAATAAAATTTAGGTACTAAAATGTAAGAAAAAATAAATTCGGGTACCAAATTGTAATTTTTAGAAAAGTAGTCTATTTATCAGGGTCGACCCACTGACCCGACCCTTCCTGACCCGCCCCGACCCTAAAGGGTCAGACAGGGTCATGAAAGAAACAAGGGCGGGGCGGGTCAGTTATACATCTTGATCCTTCAGGGGCGGGTCAGACAGGGTCAGGACAGGGTCAGGGCCGGGTCAGGCCAATTTTTAGCCCTAGTAAGGTTCATCATACTTGATTTAGAAGGTTAAGACTGTATGTATAAGAATGTATTTATTTAGATAATTAAGAATCAGATTTCAGGGGCTGCTTAGAGATGATTAGTGGTAGTTCTGTTCTTGAGTACGTAGAGTAGACATTAATGACGAGTTTCAGCTCGACTAAACCAAAAGATCACCGCTGATGACCAAATTCAGAGAATCGCGGTTCAATAGTGAAAGATAATTTAGGATCAAGGACCGGATCAATAGTGCATTCGATTCGTTTGGTCCGGTCCAAATGTAAATTCAGTCCATTTTTCTTCAGTATTTATAAATTCACGGGACCAAAGACCGGACCATATTATATTCGATTCGTTGTGATCCGATCCAAACTCAATTTGGTCCGGTGTGGTCCGGTATGGACCAACCCATTGCCCACCCCTAATCCAGAGTACCATCGGGACCAAACGGTTGTTCTCATGTGGCAGGAAGTGTCTCATGCATTGGCCAACACGGATAAGAAAGATGTACGTACTCGTTATGAATGTATTTGGGTATAAGATCAGTATGTTGTATGATTGAAAGTTTTGGATAAGATTTAGAGGTTACAGATAAATAACCGGAACATATATAACATTATTTCATATTGAGTTAATAGTTTTTAGTTTGACTAATAACATGAAATGTTGATCGAATAAGGGTGATCGAATTGCAGGAGCCGACATTGGATATGGCGCTCGAGTAAGCCTGTCTCGTCCTGGAGGACATGGATAATTAAGGTCGTTTGATTGTATTATTGTACCTTATGCACGTCTGTTGATTAATAACTTTACCATAAGGACTTTGCATGGCGGCAATCAATCATATATTGTATCATGCTTGATCATTTCAAGAACTGAAAGGAGAAATATAAAGGTTTTCAAGCTCATGGTGAATCTCAGAGGTCAATTCAATTGGCTTCACTCAATTACAGCAGAAATAGCTTTCTGAACCCAATTAATTGTCGCTAAAACTCAGTTTGGTAGTTATTGTAATCAGACTAAAATAATTATCTGGTCATCAGTTTTCTCGCCTTATCCACGTTGCTAAAAACTAATTACTATAAATCCGATTAAAACAAATACTAACAACAAAATAACTCGAATAATCCTAAAATAATAACTAAATACAAATAATTAAATAAAGATATGCAAATCTAATTTATTGGATTGCCACCTCAGCTCGATCTCATAACACACAGTTACTTTGGTATCATATTCCTCAAACTTTTCCTCCGATTTACCACAATCCCACCCCTTTGGCAGTTTCAAGTTTGTGGGAAGAGTTGGTGTTTGCACCTATAAGTAATTTTGCCTTAAACCTTATTGTTGTGGCATCGGGGAATGGAAGTGGTTAGCCTGACTACCCTTTTAATGGAGTTTGATTTTTGACATCCTCTTAGATACCATCCATCTAATCTAATGATAAGGATTAATCACCTATTTTTTAGACATTAATTACATAATTAATTTCTGTCACCACATTGGAAAAGGAAAAGAATATGGGGAAAAACGATTCCCACCCCCAATTCGAAACACTTTTCTTCTCCCTCTTTTTTCTCTCCCTTTCGTTTCCTCCTCTCTCCCCCGATTCCCTCTTCCCCTGCTCGCCGTCGTCGCCTCTTCACCGTCACAGTCCACATCTCCCCCCGGCTCCGTCCCACATCCTCTGTCGTGGGCTATGTCTTAGATGGTGAGTGCCGTTGTCATCCGAGCAATCCACAAGCTGGGCATTGTGAAGGGATCGACGGAGAAGACGATGACCCTCCTCACCTTCCCGGCAAAGATGGCGACATGTCTCCCCTTCCTACACTGGCCATCCTCCCCTTCCCGGCGACGACGACGACGAAGAATATGAGGTAGCTCTCTCTGTCCCACTATCTCTCTCTCCCATACCCAGATCTGGGTTTTGGTGTGGAACTGGTATTGATACCAGTGAACTGGTAGATTATGATTATACTCGTATGTGAGTACTAGTATTGGTACCAGTGTACTGGTAGTTTATCATTATCCTGGATTTTTCTAGATTTGTGATTTTTTAACTATTCCTTATCAGTCTAATTTTTCTCTCTCATACCCACTAAGATCTGTTTTTTCTTGTGGTAATGTTACCACTACAATGATACTTGCAGTGTTTGAGTTTTTGTTGAATGTTATCAATGTTAAACTTTTTATTCCAGTGGTATTTGTACCAGTGAAGTGATGTGTCTTACCAGTCTAGTGGTATTTCTACCAGTGAAGTGATATGTCTTACCAGTGTAGTGGTACTTCTTGCAGGTGCTCGGAGGGAGTCAGCAGGTGCAAAAATGTACTGGTAATTCTACCATTGTAGTGATAGTTGTCTTACTTATTGATTCGTATTTCTCTCACTGCATTGATTTGCTAATGATACGAGTACATTATATCTAACACTGCAAGTGGGTGGTCACATTTTGGTGTGAAAAGTATGACTTGAATAGTTGCACGGTTACTTGTATCATGTTACCACTTCAGTGGTACATGTATCAATTCATTGGTATATGTACCAGATCAGTGGTACATGTTCACGACAGTGTTGTTGTTTTCCAGACGCTATAGGGTTGCACTTTACGACAGGAAACGACAAAAAACGACGTGTGGTTCAGAGGAGAGAAAGGCTATACTTGATTTCCCTTGGTTTAGACTTCCCACAAACAATTTCATAGTGACTTCATGTTTATTTGTTGCCTTGGCTGGATATTTTATTAATGTTGGCATTTTTCTTTTTTGATAACACATTCTACTAAACGATTAGTGGTGATACTAATGGGAAGTTGCTGGTTTGTTTACGTATCGAATTGGTTGTACATAAATTTGTTCAGTGGTACGTGTATCTGTTCAGTGGTACATGTATCGGTTCACTGGTATATCAGTTCAGTGATACATGTATCATTTCAATGGTACCACTCCAAACTCTATCTAACACTGACATGAGAACATTTAGGATGAGTTTCAATTTTGTACAAGTGCAATATATCTAACACTAAAAGTGGATGGTCACATTTTGGTGTGGAAAGTATGGCTTGAATAGTTGCACTGGTACTTTGATGGAAACCTACTTTTTAGGTTTAACCATAATTGTCAATATTAATATTATTAGGATTTATCTAGATATGGTTATTAGTCTTTGAGCCATATTAGGATAGTCTCTTAGGTTTTTCCAGTCTTTCGTTATAAATATGTACTTTGCGTTTTATTCAGGATAGTCAAGAAGAATATTAAGAAACCCTTTCCTAAACCACATTCTCCCAATCCTCTCAATTCTCGTTCCCAATCCCTCTAAAGGCCTAGGCCGATTCTCTATCTTTCTCTTCTCAAATCCCTAATTCTATTCTAAATCCCTAAATCCCCAATTCTCGATAGAACCCTAATCCCAGGTTCTATCAATTGGTATCAGAGCCATGGTCACAGATTTGAGTTCATCACAACTCTCACCAGGGAATTGTTATCAGAAACCCTATCACACGTTTGAAGCTCTCCAAGCCAGTTTAGCTAGGAGGGAAGCTCACGCCGACTATATGATAGCAGGCCTGAAAGAACTTCGAGCCAAACTCGAGCGCTATGCGGCCCGTCGTCGCGCGACCCGCAACCAGCCAGAGTCGACGTCGAAGGATTCATCAGCCTCCATTGAAGACACTCCTACTATTGTGGAGTTTGTTCCTACCGCCGTGGAAATCAGTTCAATCGACGCAGCTCCACAACTGGCTTCCACCACTACCGTCCCAAGCATCTTCACAACCATCATCGAGGTTCAACCGCTACTGACGTCGACAGCAACGACGACAATTCCGATCACCAAACCATCAACTCCACTCGGCGCGGTCGATATTGAAGTTCCAGCTGCTGTGGAGCCGAGATTTACGGCCACTCCAACCGCCGTGCCCAGGTACAATGGGCTGGAGAAGAAGTTGAAGGAGAAGGGAAAGAGGCGGGTCACCGAGGAGAAGAAATCGAGGGTGAACCCTGTGATTCTCCTCACAGCGGCGTCGCAGGGGAATCCATTCGTGGCAGTAGCGGACTGGGAGATGGTGGAAGAACCGCCGCCAAAGCCGAGTCCAGAAGAGAGACGACACACTTGTCGACTGGTGAGGTGCGCGCTGCCGGAGGAGGAAGAGACGGAGGGCGACGACGTTTCCCTTTCTCGCACTGTTCGAGTATCCAAACCCGATCGCCGATCGCGAAGGGAGTAGAGGCTCCGCTTCCGCCGGCAGTTCCTTGCGCGACGCCGGTGATGACGAACCCGACGACGGCCGCACCGGGAGTGTTGATCTCGGAGGTGAGCGAAGACATCGGGGAGCGAGGCAGATCTTCCTCGGCGGCGATCGTGACCAGCAGCAAAGTGGGGCAGGAAAACCCCTTGCCGGAGTCTCGAATCACGTCGCCGACCGAGAGAACAAAAGAGGGGCGACTGCAGGTGGCTTTGGCAGTCGCGTTGACCGACATGGAGGCGAAGCGGAGGGTGGCGGCGGCGTCGCGGATCGCGGAAGGGGCTTCGGAAGTAACAGAGTTGGTGCTGCCGGCGTGGAGGACGATGAAGAAGAAGCTGCCGATAGACGAGGACAAGGAGGAAGGCGGCAACGTCCCTTTTTTGTGTGAGCGGCGGCGGAAATATCCCTCCCCTGAAACTTCACCGGGCCACTTCCAAGAATCGAAACCTGGTTCGGGTAGGGTTTCTCAGTGGCTCATGTTGGGCCAGCCGAAGCAGTGGAGAGGGACTGGACTTGACGCCGTGGGCTCGGATGGAGCTGAGGGCCTTGTTGGGCCAAGGAGAGTGGATTGTTTGTTGAAGAAAGTAAACCACATTTTCGGTCATGGACTAGGAAGGAAGGGAGAGATCGTTGGGCTCTCTATGACCCGAAAAGAGCAGCCTAGAGGCCTAAAGGTAGAAGCGAAATAGGCCAAGCTAGGGCCTGCCCACGGGCCAGAATTTGGAGGTGATTGGGCCGAGTCAGAACCAGTTTTTGGGTCATTCTTTGGTTCGAACGAGGCTTTGGTACAAAGGCCAAATTATGGGCTGAAGATGGAATCGAACTGGGCTTCGCAAGGGCTAAGTCTCGGCTCACGTATGGGCAGTTTAATAGTGGCTATATTATCTTGGGTTGGGCCAAGTCAGGAAGGGTTTAAGCCCAACGAGGTGAGCATTTTAAAGAATGTGAGCTTGGAAGAAGATGGGTTTATTGGGTTTGCAAAAAGCCCAAGTGAGGAGAGTGAAGCTGCATGGGCCATCATCATAGAATTTGAAGTTCTTGACAGATTGATACTCAAGGATGGATCCGTGTACAAGAATGAAGCAAGTAGTGGGCCCATGAAAGTGAAGTTCGAAAAGTTGGACCAGCACAAGAAGGTCAACGCAAGAGGTACCCGTCAAGTAGTAGAGCAAGATTGGAAGAAAAGAAAGCGCAAGAAAGGGAGGATCAAATGCGCGGGTTGCACGAACGATGTGAAGAAGTGGGTCGAGTTGGTCAACCTTGAGGACAAGGTTGGTTTTCAAGGGGAGGGGATGATGGAAACCTACTTTTTAGGTTTAACCATAATTATCAATATTAATATTATTAGGATTTATCTAGATATGGTTATTAGTCTTTGAGCCATATTAGGATAGTCTATTAGGTTTTTCCAGTCTTTCGTTATAAATATGTACTTTGCGTTTTATTCAGGACAGTCAAGAAGAATATTAAGAAACCCTTTCCTAAACCCTATTCTCCCAATCCTCTCAATTCTCGTTCCCAATCCCTCTAAAGGCCTAGGCCGATTCTCTATCTTTCTCTTCTCAAATCCCTAAATCCCCAATTCTCGATAGAACCCTAATCCCAGGTTCTATCATACTTGTACTAGATCAGTGATACATGTACCAGATCAGTGGTAGATGTACCACATCAGTGGTACATGTACCACTAGTGGCGGATCCAGGACATAGTAGAGCACTGGGCCGCATTTCATTATAAAATTAGATACTGCAAAAAATTATAAATTTTATTACAATATCAATTATACACGTCGATCTTTTAATATAGCGAAATCTTCAATAAAGGAGTCTACATCCATACTAATCGCATACTACTCTTTTTCAAATAAAATAGTTAACCAATCAGTGAGAAATTCATCGCTCATTTTGTTGTGCAAATAATTTTTCACATGTTCCATTGTTGAAAATGTTCTCTCCATAGTAGCTGTTGAAACATACAATGTCAACACTAGACAAATCAATTGACTAATCAATTTGTATCGTGTATCCATCCCTATTTACACCACCTGCTCTAGTGATTTTTTCAAGTGAACAAATCTCATATTTCTTTTAGCCTTTTACATTTTAGACTTTAAGAATTTTAGGTTTCATTGTTTGTTTTTCTTTAGACGAGACTCATTTGAGCTAGAATTTCTAGACTAAATTTAGAGTTATGATTTGAATATGGTCATCCTACCCATTTTCCTAATTACACATAATTTTATTATAAAATAACACTGGACCAAATGACCAAAATTGATAAACGCATAAGGGCTATACTAGTTCCGGATCCAGAGGAGGGCTGGGCCGTGGCCACCCCCTGGATCCGCCACTGTGTACCACATCAGTGGTAGATTTACTACATCAGTGGTACATGCTCACGGGAGTGTCGCTGTCTCCCGGACGTTGTAGGGTTGCACTTCACGATAGGGAGCGGTAAGAAACGACCCATCACCGCCCTTCATGTTCTTCTTCATCTCCGACGGGTTCTCCGCCGACGAGAAACCCCCCAGGTGTTCTTCTTCACGTTCTTCTTCTTCTCCGCCGCCGCCCTTCATGTTCTTCTTCATCCCCTGGGTCTCGTCCTTCGGCGAAGAGCAACCCACCAGGCAGGTCGAAGGCGATCCCTCCGTCGGCGAGCAACTTGATGGTTTCCGGCCGCCATCGATTTCTGCAGAGGAGAGGGTCACCGTCAAGTTCTGCAGAGGAGAGAGGTTGGTTGCTATTTTTTCGAGAGCGAATATGGGAGCTGAAAAGGCATTTTCCCCCTCCAACGCTTTTCTCCTTCCCCATTCATAATTATTACCACAATTAAGTCTTTCCAAATTTACAAGACTACAAAAAATAAAATAAAAAGCAACTTTCATTAATACAACTTACCAAATGATTAAATGGAAAAGTGACCAATCAAGAAGAGGGTGTCAAAAAACAGACCCTTTAGGGGGTTAGCATAGTATTCGACCCCTCGTGGAATTAATGGACACCGCTAGCTCAATAACGTCCCGGTGGATAATGACATTGCGAGTCCAATAGTGTCGTGGGGTATAAAACAATAACTTTCATTTCTCTCTACAGGTCCTAGCTGTTGAGCTCTCCTTTCATGAAATATTCTCCATAGTCGTAGTTTGTAGTTGTAGTCGTCGAGCTCTTCAGATGAATCTCCATAGACATATATTTATCGTACATATATTCCCCCAAAACTCAAACACACTCGTTTGAACATTGTTCGTATCGAGAAACTTTCGTCAATTTGTTTTAGAAATCAGAAGTGCATCCAATCAAAACAACACCGCGAAATAGCTAGTCAAGTTAAGAAGTGATTGGAATAATTTGGAAAGAAGAGGTGGGGTAGATAATTTTACATGATGCATCTGTCGAGATTTTCATCTCATTGGCATTTTTTTTTGGTAGAATCTCATTGGCATTTTATGGGTTCGGCATATGTATCCAATCTGCAAGCATATGTATCCAAAATAAGAATGTGTATATCGTTAACAACCTAAGACAAACAAGAAAATGACAATATATACAGCTCATCGTTTAATACAACGAAATGAAGACTCGGTCAAAAGTGTTAGAAAGTGGTATAAGATCCAACATAACCTTCTTCTAACAACTCGAGTTATTGGGACCAACTAATTTATGACATGGTATCAGAGCCTAGAACCGAAAGGTCATGTGTTCGAATCTCCACAACCCCCAATATTAACTGTTGTCTTTCAAACACATAATATGGTGGCCCTGTGCAAACTTCAAGCCCATGGGTTGGCTTTCGTTTGTGGTGCAGGACGCAAATCTTACAACCGGCCGCCACAGCCAGGAGTAATTCAACCAGGGGCGGAGTTACTTGGAAGGTAGGGTGGCCCCGACACTCTCGGGATTAGTCTCGGCCCCTAGGACCTTAAGGATATTTAGATAAAATTTGAATAAGTAGGACTCGGCCAGAATATTAGTTTATACAATTATTATGTAGTCTACTGGTAGCTAATCTAGTTTTTAGTCTGGAGCACCCAGGTTCAATTCACCACTAACTCACATTTTGCTTTATTTTGAGTGGTTTCAATGATTTTTAGACTATATTGAAAGAAAGGTAACAAAACATTTAGTTTAGATGCTATTTTGAGTGATTTTTCAATGATTTCAAAGAACGTTGTGTACTTTTAAAATAATTATTTTATTTTTATTTACATTTAATTATTTTCGGTCCACCCAGTGTAGAAATCCTGACTCCGCCCCTGAATTCTACGATCGATCCTAGCTACCTTGCCGCAGCTTCTCACCGCCGGGGAGGCATGGATAATATGTGGATATACAGGCCGACGAGCGGAAGGCTGATGATAATAGCTCAGTTTGGCCCTGCTGTAGCTTTTGCAGAAGCAGCTTCTGGCTTGAGCTTTTAGAGAAGTACTTTTCGAAAAAAAGCAATTGAGTGTTTGGCTGAAAAACTATTAAAAGTGCTTTTTAATATGAGAGGTTATGTAAAATGACTATAAAGGACTTATAATATAAACTATGAATAATAATTATAAACAATAAAATGTAGTTAAAATGGATCTTGTTAGATTTCTTTTATATTAAATAATATAATTTTAGAATTAATTTTATTTTTAAAATGATATAATGAAATAAAATTTTATTTTCTGAAATAAAATTAAAATATGGTAAGGATAATCTTGTATTTTCAAAACAGCTTTTCGCAGAAGTTCCAAATCGGAGCTTCTGCTTTTATGTTATACAAAAGCGCTTTTCAGTTTTTCAAAAGCCGAGTTTGTAGAGGTGTTTGGCCCTGCTTCAACTTTTGAAACCGAAAAGCACTTTTAAAAGCCGAGCCAAACATAAGCAATAAGTCTTTTCTGTTCGATCGTGTAAATTAGTCGATCTTCCTTAATTTGCCTTTGGATGATATCTCGCCTAACCTGTTGGTAATTGAGGTCTAATATTTACGGTTTTGGAGTACCATACACAATTACAGACTGCTTCAAGTCTTTAGCTATTGCTGTTTATTTATCCGCGCTGATCATCGTTTTGTGGCTAGCTCTAGTCCCAAGTTATTTTTGTCCACCTGAAAAATAGTAGTGATGGGATGAGCGTATGGGTTTCGGGTAGCATGGTAATTTCTATAGATAACTCTAGAGTCTAGAGTGCTTAGAAAAGTAATAAAGAGATAAGTCGAGTTCATTTTTTTTTTTACAAAATATATCAGATATATTGATAGGAGAAAAAGATATTACATCCTAGAAACCAGCTAGACCTAGAAATCAAAAAATCGACATGCAATCGGGTACAAAGCGAGGGCCTTTCTAGCCACTAAATGGGCTACCCTATTGTTACTCCGACCTACAAAACTAACAGAAAGCGCGCCATGACAAGTAAACACCAGAATAATCCCTTCAAGTAAAGCCCCAATCCGATCATCTCGCACATCCCCCCGATTGATTTTATCAATAATGACCTTGGCATCACCTTGGAAACAAACCGCATGGAAACCCAGCTCCAGACACCACAGCACCACTTCCCGAAGAATCAACATCTCTGCCACTAGAGGGTCATCCGTATCGGGCAACTAAACTCCACGAACCAGAAGTATGTTCCCGTCCAGATCATTAATCACAATCCCACCAGCTGCGTGAGACCCAACCTTCGTCGCACTGTCCCACCTACAGGTAATAGAC